AATTATTATAATTAACTACATAGAAGATATCTTCTCTTAAAAAAATCTTGATTAAAATAATGGCTTTTATGTTTGTAAAGATTTCAACATTTGGATTCAAGATGATTATTTTGCAAATTCAATTGAGATGGGACCATTTTGTGGATTATTCTTATAAAAAATTTGAGAAAAAGGGGTAAGAAACACCAACCACTAAGAAGCGTAGTGGTATTTTAGATGGTTCAATTATTAGGCTTTATGTTTTAGGAGTTATTTTATTTGAGATTTAGGTGTTATATTCCAACTACACAAGATCATGGAGGAGCCTCTAAGGCGAGCACTTTTCTCTTACTAAGGAGAAACAGGATGCCTTAAGACTTAAAATAAGGTGAGAATTACTATTTCAATGTAATCTATAAACTAGTATAATAAAGATAAAGTGGGATTTATAGACTGCACCCCCATTAAGAAGTGAAGTCCATCCCGACTCTTATGGACTTACTCTTTATGAAAAGCATAGCTAGCTAACCCACATATGCTTTAGACTCATGAGTATGATCACATGCATGAGTGGATAAGTAAGGCTATTGTTAAGTTCTAGGAATATTAAATGGGACTTATTGCTTGAATCTAAAGGTCAAATAGGTTGGGTATAATATGCATCTATCTAATATAGAATTTAATATTTTTTAGCTTTTTATTAATTAGACTCCTCATAAGTGTGTAGCTAATGCATGTATACATGCACCAATAGTCAATTTCAAGCTAATAAAAATTTAGGCAACCTCTCCAAAGAAGGGGAAAGTGTCGAGGGAAGGAGAGTCTCAATAAGCAAGTGAAAAACGGTTTTGATTCTTCAAAATATTTTTTGATGGATTTTTTTATTAATCCAATGGCCTTTGAGTTTGAGTTATTTGATTTTTTGTTTTAAGTCAATAGGTTGGACTAAAAGTTTAATTTTAAACCAGTAGCCTAATGAGTGAATACCATTTTTCAAACTAAGCACACAAAAACATAAAAATTTAAAAGAAGATATTTTCCAGTCCACACAGAGTAAACACACTAAGCACATAAAATAAGATCATATAAAGGTGGGCTACTTGTTGACCTCATTTTTATAGGAGGTCTATCTTATTCATTTCTCTCCCTAGAACTTAGGATTTATCGTTAGGGTTTCCTTGTGGCTTTCCTAAAGGATTTATGATATAACCAAACACCAAGCTAGAATTTTAAACCAAAATTTCACTCCTTATAGTTTCATGTACTTGATTTTAAATCCTTAGTTCTTTGTTTAGTTGATTGAGGTTAAGTCATTGAAGCTTAAGTTGTGAGTCCCTATAAGCTTGGAAATGCCCTAAGTTATCCTTTGACCCTAGAGACTTATGACTTTGGTTTGGTCTTCCCTGGCTCTTTTGCACTCTCTCCTTAATTCCTTGAATAATTCACTCTTTGGTTCAACAAAAGCACATTGGGTATGATGTTCATTTTGAATTAAGATTAAATTTATCCCTTAAAAAAATAAAAAAGGAGAGAATAAATAAAATCAAAATCAAATTGAAACCAAACCTATAAAAAAATCCATTAAAATCCAAAATTTAAATATAAAATTTTATAACTAATGAAATTAAAATAAAAAATAAAAAACAAAGTCACCAAAATTGCAAAATTATTTCAAAACGTAGCAAAATTCAATCTATTATTATATTTTTATTGCTACTATTTTTTTTTCAAAACATAGCAAAACATATTTTTAATCTATATTTCAATAAAATAACTAATAATAATTTAATAATTAAATAAAATCCATAAAGACATTGAAAATTTAAAATAATTTTAAATTAAATGAAACTTGTGTCTTGAGGCCCCTCCGACCTCATTGACTCCCCAAAATTTTTTTAAGAACAGAAACTAATAAAACATTAATAAATTATAATTTCAAATGAAATTGGCAATTAATCCCTAAAGTAAATATAATAAATGATAAAAAAATGATAAAAATGGAAAACCAGTCGGAAATTAAAAGAAAATCTTGAAAATAAATACCTCATCCAATAAAACAGAAAGACCACTCACCCAGGAGAGATTATTGCGTGCGGACACCGCATGCATCTCTGCATGCGGTGTCTGATCCTGGCCGTAGATCACGGTGATCTACGACCAGGATTATCTCTATTTTAAAAAAAAAAAATTTAGGTGGGGCCCACCGAAATATATCGGGGCCGTAGATCAAGTGATCTACGGTCCGGATCGGGCACCGCACGCAAGGTATGGAATAATTTTTCCTCACCCAGATGCTATAAAACCATTTGATAAAATGTAAGGGTATATTTATAATTATGATATTTACATTTTTACACATAAATCTTGATTAAACCAGCGAATTACATATTTAACTATGATTAAATAAACATGTGGAATGAATTGATTAAGATGAATTTCAATTTAAAAAGATTTGCAAATCTTGAAAATGTTGAGAATTTGCCTTCTGTAATTTTCTGAAAATTCCAATAGATGTAAACTCATGTGTGATCAATAAATTCACTGTTTTGAACATTTCTAAAAAAAATGGTAAAATCAGCAAGTGAAATTGATGTGAATTCAAAGGAAATTGTGTAAAACTTGATATAATCATGTATTGATGCATATTTATGATAAAACCATATTTACATACATATGAAAAACACTTTAGGACAAACAATCTACAGACATATCATGTTCATCAAAACAAAGCTTCTTTTATGGGCATGAGTTTTTAAAAACCTTCTAGGATCTAAGTACATTAAGTATCTCATTCCCCTATTTTGAATGAAGCTCTTATACCACTGAAGATTACAAAACTTACAGCTTTCTACTGTACCACCTAAAATTTTTGCATCTAGAAGTTACAATCTTCTTCTTTTGGATTGAAATCATAAGACTACCTTTGAATATGCAAATCATAATTGTTGATAAAATGCCTTATAATAAGCAATGACCTTCTATAACTCAGTAGCTTTAAGTTGGCAAATTGGGATCATGATTTATGAAGCCCCAACTAAGCATAGTTCAACCTTTTTGTTGACTTCTTTACCCTTACCCTACACCCTTTTGGATCCACTGTGCCTCATTTTGAGAATGTTAAATCAATGAACATTATCATGTTAGTTTTATATATAGAGAGATAATTGATAGACTTGTTCCAAAGCAAAAACTTTTTTTATAGGGATAGTAGTCTTTGCACCTAACTTCCAATAATTTTAATAAATAAATAAATAAAGCACAAGCATGTTATCAGTAATTGACAATTTCAATTGGCAGGTCCTGCAAATGATTTATTCATAGAGAATATTCCTTTTGAGTGTGTGATTGAGAGTATATTATCTTATGGAATCTCATATATTAGAAGAATGCCTTCATACTATCCTTCATTTTCAACCAAGGGCTAGAAATATTGGCAACCTTAATAGATAAGAATAATAATCATACAACTCGAACTTGAATCATTGGCTTTGAAGTTTCATGGGCTAGCTTGAATTGCTTAGACGATGACCTAATTTGAGTTACTAGAACTATGAGCTAGCACTAAGTTGTGTATGTCTTTGAGTATCCTTATTGAATAAACTTCTGTTCCCACTTATACCAAAAATGTCATAAAACTTATTTAACTACTATTGGCTCATACAAGACTATATCAATGACCATCAAAATATGGTATAATAGCTTTAGCTAATTGCATCAACAAAATTAAATCAAAAAATGGATAAAATACGGGCTGGAGTTACATGCCATTGTTTAGTCTTTACAACACTTGGAAATTTATTAGACATCAAGGGTTCTGTCCTATCTAATATCCATCAAAAGCTCATATAAAAAAAACTCATATATATATATATATATATATTCTAAATGAAGGTTTGCTGGATTATTTTCATGAAAACGTTCACTTTTCTCTTTAAAAAATCAATGTTTAAAGGACATTTGAACACATTTGTCAAAGCTACAAGTTAAAAACTGAACTCTTAGAACCATGATTTGCAGCACTGTAGGCAATCGGCCAAAATTGGGACCTCATGCACTCACCGATACTGAATCTGCTTTTAATAGCAAGATCAACTAATATGTCTATCACTAGTCATTTTTCATTATCTAATATATATTTATGGCAAAAAATGCAATTGTTGATCATAGGGAATTACCATCAGAATTGACTCAATTGCATGGTGAAATCAAAAAAAAAAAATTGATACATCTAACAAGGAAGTATAAAAACATTTTAAGGGAGCTTGCTCTGTGATCCATTTCAATAAGAACCGCTAATCCCACAAGAATATGCAAGTTAACCTACAATTACATTTGATTACTACAGATGCCATTCATGTCACCACTTTGAATTGACTCAAGTTCCACATCAAACTTGATTGATTTGGGTTGGTTTGACCGTGGTCAACTGTGGTCAATAACAACTGCCTCCTTTATCTTTATCTATATTTTAGCATTTTCTGTTTTCTATATCAGTGTAGTATTCTGTTTTCATACCTCTCCTTGTAAAATCAATTTTCCCTTGTGTTGTTGACTTGTCATTCTAGCACGGATTAGTGAAAAAAAAAGAGATATAGAAGTAGAACTATAATCATGACTTTTGCATTGTTGATTGTCCTTCGCTCTGCTTCTTCCACCCCCTGCACCGATAGCCTCGTGCAGAAGGAATGGCAACGACTAGCATACGTCGATACCATGTTATGAGGATAATAATTGAATAATCTTATTCACTAAACAAAATATCTATTTACAAGCATATAATATAAAAACAATAAGAAAAAAAGAAAAAATAGACAAAATAAATCAACATATATCATTTTAAAATATATATTTTTATTTCGTATTGATATCCTAATAATATTTCCTAATCAGGTAAAAGAAACCACTATTCAGGTCAGATTATAACAGCAGCTCCCCTCCCCCCAACCCACCCAACCCACACCGCACACAAAAAAAAAAATGCTCAGTAAAGGGTGACTACAAAACGATGAAGATAGCTGACATTGAGAAAGGGCCAACCAATCATATTCACTAAAAGGCATATATTTGGGCTTCCAAATATTCTTCTATTGTGCGCCATAGAATTTTAGGCATGAAAAAAGATCCACTGCTTTCAACTAAACCTCCTGTATTTCAAGCTTAACTGTCAAACATAAAAGGCAAAATGCATTTGATCGACACATTCTGAAACAACATAAAATCAAGAAAATAAAATAAAATAAATAAGTATGAATTTCAGTTACAAAATTTCAGCGTAAAAGACATTCATGCACAAAGACCTGGAAACTCTTACAGATTAAACAGATGCCAGTATTCTGTGTGGTAGCTAGCTGCATCTCTGAAGAGAAATTTGGCAATTTGAATCTTCGATGTTAGTCCACTCTTTTCTTTTGCAGAGCGGTTTTTCTATCTGATAACTTCTTGCATCCATTTCAAGCTGCACACAGTATTTCCTGAAATTTTCTACGCTAACATGAAGCTTGAAGTCTAAGCTGAACAAAAAGTTTAGCTCCAGTCTGTTCATTTCTGTAGTGGTGATACCCCCAACCCTCGCATAGTAAGCATTATTGTAAAATCTGCAGTGTTTATCAAGATCAAGATAATGGATACCATAAATCTCTCTTCTTATAGCAATTAACAATGGTGAAGTCAACAAAAAATTCCATAAATCCTTTACCTTTGATGGAACTGAAAGATAGTGAAAAGAAAAACGAAATGTAAATGTAACTGGCCAAGGAATTGGATTGAAATTATATTTTATTATGTTGTTTGGCTTGTAGATAGTCACAACTCGAGGAAAAAGCTAGGAAGGAGAGATAGTAAGCAAGATGAGGGAAATCAATATTTCTTTTTGGGTAGAAGGTTTGGGATATAATCTACCAAGATCAATCCTCTGTTACATGTAGTTTCCTCTATTAATAGAGGGCTCTGTAATATAATACAAAATAGATACTCATTACACACATCTCTAAGGACCTATAATTTATCCCTTCTTATCTTCTTTTCACTTTGATATTATAATTAATATTATCTTTTGATTACATCGTATCTCAACGTCTATTCTCCATAAAGCACGTGGGGTAATATCCTTAGCAGCCTACTCGACCTTTGTGATGATTGATCTTTAGAGTGAGTTGTCCTCGTCTACTGAGTTGATCTCAGAATGAGGTGGATCCGGTCCTTGTTGGTGAATGGGTGAGCTTATTGTGATAGGCAAACAGGTAACTCGCACTCGATTTCAACTAGTACACGGCTCATACTTGGTGGCTGGTGCTCAAATATTTGTCTATCAATTTGTCAGCTTGGCGGGACACAGGATAAGGGAATTTGGCAGTCCGGTTTGGCACGCTATCGGACTCTTAAGCTTGAGTTCAGTCAAGTGGCATTTGATAATAAATATTAAGTTCCACTGATTATCTTACATCTTGGTGGCAGAGCTGCATAAAGAATAAGAGAACTATACTACTTGTAATAACAGTTATTCTTGGCAAAACCAATAATAGTATCTAATCGCATTAATGAGATATAAATAACTACCATGAAGTTTGGGGCCTTGCATCTAAAAATAAGGTGAAAAAGGTGCCAATCGAGTCATTCTTTCATCCATAAGCCTTCTTTTCTTCTACAACTTCTTACGCATCTTACTCCTTCGACCGAACCGTATAGAGAATATTTCAAAGGACTACACAAATATTCCAACATCCGAGCCCCTTAAAAGCTTGTTCACCAAGCAGCGAAGGCAAGGCCGTTCCGAAAAAAAAAAGAAAGTGGTGAAGCAGTTAAGGGAGACCTCGATCCTTAGTCCCTTCTCATGAACAGATTCCTCCTGTGGTTTTGGCCACTAGTGTAGGTATTCCGAAACAGAATCTGTTAAAGAATTCAGCTTCTCATAAGTTCGTTAGTTGTTCAACCTACTCATCCGTCCTTGAATGATGGATTGGTGCTAATCTGAGAGAAATTATGACTTCTAAAAAAATATATTATTATTATTATTATTATTATTATTATTATTATTATTATTATTATTATTATTATATTGTTGGTAAATTCAGGGACGTTATTAGTAATTATAACCATAGGTAATCTATACATGCAAATGAGGCTCACCCACATAAAGTTGTGGACTACTTCCGTCGTGAACTTTGATAGAGCTCTTTTTTATATCCACTTTGAAAAATAACCAATAGCAACCAGCAAAAATTTTGGTTGGCTTTTGAATGGAGAAAAATGATCGAGGAGATCCAGTCCCCACACGGTGAATAGCCAAAAACTCATGATTTGCTATAGCTTATGCAAATATTGCAATTATAAGTAAAAGAATTTGTTTTGGCGCCTCGGTTGCAGTGAAAATTTGATGAACTTTATTAAATACATTTTTTTTAAATTTTGTATCCTTTTCTTTACCATTTTAGTTTTATAAGGATTACGATTTCCTCTTATAAAAGGGATGTTCGCAGTAGTTTCCAAATTTTGTTTGTCATTTGTAAGTGTTTCCTTGATCTTTTTTGTTATCACTTTTCAAGATGATTTCCATCCTTCGCTCTAGTTGTAAGGCGTTCGCAGAGGCCGAACTACCAGGGAAATCCAAGTTGACTATTGAGGATTTTGCCTCTGCACAACGCATATTCATACTTGACTCATCTATTCTACTACAAGAGACAAAGAAGGAGAGGCCAAACTTGATGTATAATATAGAACTATTGTTTTCCCGAGACCAATTCATGCTAGAGCTATAACTTCCTCTCTGTAGGAGCTAATCTACAACTTCAATTTCTACTACAGCAGATCGTCACTATGATCCCTTTCATGAGGAGGACGAAGATACTGTGTTCGACTGGCCTCTTCTGAGCAATATTTACCATTAAGCTTTAAAAGGATGGTTTCATCCAGTTCTTTGGAACTAGAATCGAGCCTTGAGAATAAGGTGAAAGGTTGGAAGAGAAGTTCTGCTTAGCCTCTTCTGAGAAGAGGTGCCGATTAGAACTTGAACCAGGATATATGATCCAGAGAAGAGCATGGGAAATGTGGGTTCTAGGTCTCTAGCCTCCAACTCTTCTTTCTAAAAGAGAGAGACAAAAGCCAACATAGATTCTCCTAACTCTGAGCGAATTTGCAATAGGTTTTGAAAACTCATTTACATCCTTTGTTTTCTTGATGTCCGAATAGAAGATAATTACTCCTAGCAGCAGACTATTAACCAAACTAATGTCAATTTCTTTTAAGTGATAAAGAATAAATGATATTTCAAAATATTATTTATCCTAAACAGACAAATAATAGATTTGAATGATGTGATGTGATTGAAGGAATTAGAACTCCCTCGATAAGATTCCAATAATGGAATCATAAACTTCTCTGGTGTGCATCGGCAATCACTCAAGACAAAATATTCCGCAGTTGATATTGTCCGGGAGTCCCAATTGTCCTTCCCCATTCATATTAAGCAATGCTGCCCCAACACTTTCAAGATGGTAAGAATCATCCTCGTCAGTTAAAACATGTGATGAGGTTCTTCTAGTAACCGCGATGGCAACTTTCACCGCACCAAAACTTTGAAACATGGAGGGAGTGCATGCCCTTTTAATGCTTGCGCTCGCATTTCGCATCATCATCATCATCATCATCATCACAAGCATCATCATCATTTGTTGATTTAACTCATTCATTTGCCAAGTCAAGAACTCTCTGGCATGTTTGTCAATGGTGAGTAGCACACCATAGCTCAAAGGTCTCAGTTTGTAGAGCATGATAAGGGACCGCAAACCTCCTTGACAGTTGTACTAGCATTTCTCTTATCATCATTGTCAGTGTTCTTTCAACTAAATGATTTACTAAGTCACAAACTCTCTGGCATGTTAGTAAATGTCGAATGTCATATCATAGCACAAAATTCTCTGTAGAGAATAGTGCATGATGCAGTATGCACTATTTTAAATATAAAGCAAAATATTAAAAAATTATTAAGAAGTTTAGATAAATATGAAAGAATATATAATTAAAATATAAAAAATAAGATAATAAAAAAATAAAAAAATATTTAAATTCAAGTGCTCGATAATTCAATTACTTCAAATTCAAAATATTAGATTTTTTTACAATTCTAAATTTTTATAAATAGTGCTCATTTAAAAATTTATCATCATCATCATAAGTCAAACAAATCTTATTTCCTTCATAATAAGTATTATAATTGTATAAAATGTAAGCTTCATCATTATTCTCATCAACCAAACAAAATTCACTATCATGCGAACGACTATGTGTGACATATCATGTAATTCTTATATATTTACATATTCAACACCTAGTTAAATATTTACATATATACCAATTTATGTTATAATCATATTAAAATATTTTGATAAAAAGATATATTTCACTTTAAAAAAATTAGAATCACTATTTTTATGTGTTATTTAAATAAATATTAAATTTTAGATGTTCTATATGCAATATCTATAAATAGATTTGTATCCATGTCAATTTTCTTTAAATTTTTTTTTCATATTAAACTAAAATTTTATTTTTGTGCACGTCATCGAGGTAACGCACCATGTCTTTTCCCATGCATGGTACAAATAGCATGCGCCATTTTGATATGCCACACCTCACCATGCAAATGGCAGCAGCATGCATCATGGCACACACACCATTTAGCATCATTTACATGTATGCTCTATGATAGAATCCATGTTACTAATAATCTCTATATTAATGATATGCTCATTATGTAACTCTTCTTCTTATTTGCGGTATGATCCACACTCACCGCACCTTTCAGAATATTGAACTTTGATTTGTCTACGAACTCATACCTCAAGGTATAAGCTAGGAAAAATGAAGAGTAAGCTAGATGAGAGATAAATCACTATTTCGTTTAAAGACGACAAACTGTTTGTGATAAAATTAACAGAGATCAATCCCTTGTTACAAGAATTTTTTTTCTTTTTATAGAGAGTTCTCTCGTAGAATTTAAAAAGGTATTCATTATATACAAATTTCTTAGGATTTATAGTTTTATCATTTATGGTCTTTTTCTGACTTTGACATTAGATTTAAAAATTATTTATGTCAGAGTCATATCTCATCCCCATAAAGCTAGTTAGGTCACATTCTTGTATGCTTACTCTGCCTTTGTGATAATCAAATGTTGAAAAATTTAGCTTTAGGATCAATTGTCCTCCTTGACTAAGTTGATCTCTTAGACAATGAGGCAAATCTAATACTTTCATCAAAGGGTGGGTTGTTTGCAATAAGCAAATTGATAACTCATACGCAACTCATACTTGGTGGTTGGTGCTCAGTTACTCATATTTGTCAGCTTGTCAAACTCTGCAAGACAACTGGGAAAGACAATTTGGCTGTCCGCCGTAGCACGCCATCGAACTCTTGAGTTTAAGTTTGTTCATGTGGCATTCCACTATATATGGTTGATGAGTGTTGAAAATTGGACCTTATTTAGGGTCTTATTAGTTAAAAGGGAATATTGAAGAACTTTAGGATTTTATTTGTGAAACGTTATAATAACCTATTTAAGCCCATGTTATGAATGAAAATATTAGGTTTTGAACAATCC